AACACAGAGCGGGAACAAAAACTGGCTCGTTAGAAGAGCATCGTGGGTCTTGTTTAAAGTATAATATAAATGGGCTGGTGAGATGTCTCAGTGGGTAAGAGAGCTTGCTACAAAGGAGACATGTGTTCAAACCCCCAGCACCCATGTCAAAAGCTGTGTGTAGGCTCATGTGTGTATGCAAGGCAGAGAAAGGATTGGTGGGCTTGCTGGATGTCAGCCTAGCTCCAGAGTCAGTGACTGTCTCAAGGAAACAAGGTGGAAAGTGACAAAGCAGGCCCCCACCCATTCTCCTCTGACCCCAGCACTCATTTGGGGTACCTACACACGTGTGAACATACAAAGCACACATGCATGTACAGGCACACATTTAAAAACAAGAAAATGCAACTGTCCATTCAGTGAGTGAGCAAATCACTAGGAGAGAGGCAGATAGGAATAGGTGGCAGGGTGGCAGAGTATCGGATAGCATCAAGTGGCTCCACTCAATATCCCTGGACAGGAGCTTGTTTCACAGTTGTGTTTATTGGAAGGAACTTTATCCTTCAGTGGTACATTCTGCAGTATTTTCAGGTCAGGAAGTATGGTGGCTAAGATGCAGCCATGGCATAGTATTGCTTGGCCTCGGGCTCTCTTTTCCTTTATGGCTTTCCATAGTAGATTCCCACCATCCTTTAAAACATCGTCATTTTATGATGTGGTAAAACACATAAATATTTTGTCCAATTTGAAATACTCTTTTCTCTGGGGATTTAAAAAATAAAATAAGAGAAATTGGGGGGAGGGTGTCCCTGAGAGCATTATATGCCTTCTGTCTGCTCACTGAGCTTCACGGGCATTGACCCTGATCTCGACTTGTCTTTAAATGGCCCAGAGGTATGAGGGGGACAGGGAACTTCAGGGAGTGGATGACACGGCGATGCCCATGACTGATGACTGCTGAACCTGTGTGATGATATGAGGAGAGGAGTGTCACAGCACTTTTAAAACTGCCTATGTATTTAATAAAATAAGTTTTGAAAAAGTCATTTAATCACGATTTTTGCCTTTAGTCATGGACAGGAGTCACAAATAAACCAACATGAAAACAGATAAACACATAAGCAAGCCAGGTCCTTAAAGTTGATATTCATATAGATGATGTCACATCAATAAGAAAGGCCCCTAAAAATGTCTTGGAACAAAAATTTTAATTATTAATCTAGGATTTAAAATCTAACCTGACAGTTGGTTTAAGAAATTAATTTTTCATTTCTGGTGGTTGGGAGAATAACACCCGTATGCTCAGAGGTCCTGTCTATCAGCACGACACTGCTGTCTTTGGAGAAAGCCATGTTAGAATGTCATAGCCTCTCTTGAAGCAAAGTAACCAATAAATATAAATAAAAGGCTACGCAAGAATCCACCCTGCCTTTTAGAAGGGCCTACGTTAGGGTGAGCAGGTGAGTATCAGTGGAAGGCCAGCATGTCAGTGGGGGTTGGGCTCCTCACAACGATGCTCAGGCATCACCAACTTTTCTATGTCACCAGCTCTCTTTCACAGATCAATACCAGAAACAGTTACTTCATATGAACTCCAGGCAAGCCCTGGGTGCGCTAGGTGTCTGGATGTACAGTGAACAATAGTTCCTATGTGGAGAAGCAATATCAGCTGGGCAAACAGAGCTCTGCAGGCAACTGCAGTAAGACTGAGAACTGGCAAGAGCTTGCTTATCAGATATGAGGACTTGAACTTCATCCCTAGAGTCCACACCCAAAGAAAAACAGCCAGGGAGTGATAATGCATCTTTAATCCCAGCATTGGGCCGGTGGAGACAAGCAGGCTGCTAGAGTCCATTGGCAAGCTGGCCTAGGCTGCTTAGTGAGTTCCTGTCAGCGAGAGACCCTGTTTTTTTTTTTTTGTTTGTTTTCATTTTGTTTTGTGTTTTGTGTTTTGTTTGTTTGTTTGGTTGGTTTTTGAAGGTGGATATCACCAAGGAAAAATGCCGAGTTATCATCTGGACTTTACAAGTATGTACATACATGTGTAAGAACACACACACACACACACACACACACACACACACACACACTTCCACAAGGGTTAAGGAAGTATTGGTAAGTGAGAGCAGGAAGTGAGACTAGGTCTTCTGTGAATGGAAGGAGATTGAAGAGACTCAAATGCAAGCAATAAGCTCCAGGAAAAGCAGGAGAATGAGTCAAGCATCCCAGGTCAGAGAACTGCCTTTAGTTAATCCTGCATGTGGAGAGAGTCCAGCCTGGGCCTGAGTGCTGGGCACAGAGGAAGGCAGGAAGAGGAAGGGCAGTGTGGAAAGTAAGGAAAGCCTCCTATGCTGAATCTTAAAGTCGTTGGAACAGGAGCATAAATTCCATCAGGAAACCTGATAGAAATGCAGATTCTCATGCCCATTCTACACCTCCTGCATCAGAAACGGGTGTGGGGTGAGACTCAACCATTGCTATCTTAACAAGCCCTGTGGGCATTAAGGACACGTCAGGAATTTGAGAGCATTGGTTTGTTTGTACCAGCAATTCTTAACTAAACTTGATTTTACCCTCTAGGGAACATTTTGCAATGTCAAAATATATTTTGGGGTTATCAAGTTGATGAAAGAGAGAGGAAGGAAGGGAGAGAGAGAGAATGAGAGGGAGAAGGAGAGGGAGAAGGAAAGGGAGATGGAGAGGGAGAAGGTGCACTAAGCACTGTCTAATACACAGCACAGTCCACCAGAATAGTACCCAACACATCATCTGTGAAGATGCTGAGAAACTCAGCCTTCTTCCATGTTTCCGTCTTGCTTCTTTACTCTTTTCTCATCTATTTCTTATGAGTTCTTATATCTACAGAGATCTCAACAACCCTCAAAGGGCTCCATACTTTCATTTTTAGTCACTAAACTGTATTAAACTGTATTAAACACTCCTTTTTACCCATTCAGTAACTCCCAATGACAAAACATCAAAGGAGGTGTTATTTTTTTTAGTCCCAGCCCAGGGAAGACATTTATCACTCTGGATTGGGCGAGCACTGATTAGAGCAGTTGGGGCAATTGCTACCCATACACAAAGCTCTTGGGCATCTTGAAAAGGAGTTTCTACCAAGAAACCAAGTCAGAAGTCCCATTTTTTACATGAGTGAGAGTTTCCAGAGGTTTTCTAAAATAACTTTGTTTTTCATAAGAGTTAGAGGTAGAACTTGAACTTTTCATTAGCAACATGAAAGTCAATGAGTACATTGACAATTCACCTACAAATTCCACACAGAGTGGGGCTAAGCAAAACTAGACAACACTAAAGAGACTAGGACTAACCAAACAGATGGGATTCTAACCTGCAACTAAAAGAACGTGATCCACCAGAACGATCTGCAGAGGGAATGTAGTTACAAAGGCAAAGGGCGGCAGTGCCTATGATGGCAGTGTTGACTGTCAACTGGACAAAATTGAGACTCACCCAGGAGGGAGATGATCCCTTAGGTATGACTTTGGGGGTTATCTTGACCATGTTAATTGGGAAGACCCATTGTGGATGGGACCTGAACTGTGTAAGAGTGGAAGAAGAGACCCAAGCACTAGCGTGCATGATTCATTACCCTCTTCTGGCTGCAGCGACAGCATGACCAGCTGCTTCAAGTGCCTGACACTTTCACTCTCCACCACGATGGGCTGTATCCTGGACCTCTGAGCCAAAACAAACACTTCATCCCTTAAGTTGCTTTTGTTAAATTATTTTCATCACAGCAACAGGAAAGACACCATGATAGTGCCTACCTCACAGTTTCATGAGCAAACGGAAATGCTTATTTTGAGTGGTGGGTGGACCATTCCTTCTGTCCACATTTGGAGGAGGATGCTCTTGACTTTCAGCATCTGAAGCTAATGTCTGAGTTACCCAGCATCCTTCCCTGTGCCCTCAGACTTGATTTACCTTCTAACAACTGTCTTCCTGGTTGGCTCACAATACAATGCCCTAGAGAAGCTGATAATCATGTTTCTCATGAAACATTAATCAGCTGCACTTTTGGCTTACAGGAACTTTGTGTTGAATGAGTTAGTTAGTTATTCTGAACCAATAGAGTCAGCTCTGTGGTATTAGCAATGGAACTTCCTAAGCTTCCAAGGCCAAAGGCTGATTAGCCAGTTGACCACAGCAGGTGTACACAGGGACAGATTTCTGATATTCTGTCTGTCTTCTCCCTCTCATGATTCCTGATCCTCCTAGTGAATGGAACAACCCCCCTCATTTATATATTCCCATAGTTGTCAAAACATCTGTGGTAGATTTTAAAGACATATCCTAATACTTTGCATTTCTTCCCATGTTGTGTTTGCATTTGGATAGGCATGTTATATAGTTTGGCTTCTAGCCTGTGGAGGAAGCTTTGTACTTAGAAGGCTTGCAGCCTCTTGGAACACAGTTACTATACATAAACGTTTATGATAGTGTGTATGATGATGAGAACTAAAGCTCAACCTCTATTTTCCCTCCCCACTGCATATGACAACCTGCCAACTTCCAGAAGTTGTCACCCTGTTCAAAACATAAATGCTTTACAGAGACTAAGAGACCTCTGTCTAAGAATCCCCTAGATTAGCCCAACCAAATGCACAAAGTTATAAGCTAAACATGTTTACTATGGAAAACTGCCACAGTGGTGGGTGTGTGCTGGGGGAGTAACACATTATATAACCAGAGACACTGAATGCAGAAATATTTTCCTCCCAGAAACTTCCAATTATACTCTGAAGTTATTAGCTTGTTTGTTTCTGAGACGCCCCAGGCTCAATCTTTTGACATAATACATTAGGATTCATTTGGGGCTATTGTATGAGCAACAATAGCTCTGGCAGAAGAAATAGCCTGCCTTTCTTCCATTAAGATTCTAAAGGGTGAGAGGGTTGGAAAGAGCAACACAGGAAACCCTGCATGCCAACATCTATGGGAAAACAAGAGGGAGGATTCAATGCATTTTCAAATTCTCATCTCTCGAATAGGGATCTAACCTTCAACCGGCGGTCTGGATCTCCGCTGCACAGAGAATTCACCGAGACTTTGAATGACTTCCAGGCTGGGCTTAAGTTATTCATCACAACCTGGGAAGAGAAAGGCATGAACAGTGACTTGAAGAGGGAAGGCTTGACATTTTCATACTTCAACATGAAAACTACTTGAGAAGCCACAGCAGTGCTTATGAAAAAGACAAGTGTCTGGAGCATGTAGCTTGATGAAAACTTGAGAGTGGTGAGGATTTTAAGAGTGGCCACAAAATATGTCTTTATGGGAAGAACTCCTGTGGTCACTGGACAAGATGTGTTTCATGAATAGCGGCAGTGACATTGTTAGCATGTGGGTATGGAAGATGACCTCTTGTATAGTAAAAGGGCTGCTGTTGAGACAAGGCTGCCTCCAGCCACCAATAAAGGATTTTCCAGCCCCAAAGGACCATCAATCTTAATGAATTCTTTCTCCTTGGAGTCAACAGAGGAGAGAGATTTGGCAAAGATGGAGAGGTACTGTTAAATAATGAGCACTCCTTGCTGAGGGGCCATGAACAGTTCATGTTTGCTGGGGCCAGAGAGTCTTTTAGTCTTGTAGTGTAGCCTTGGTGAGCTGTCCATGCTCCAGTAAATAAGGCCACAACAATGTTCATGCAAGAGTCCTGGTTAAACTCACTAGGTCACACAAACACACAAAAAGACATCAAAGCAGGAGGCAAATGTGTTGATCAGAAGGCATCCAGTGTAGGTGAATGAAGATTAAGAGAGAGTAAAGGGTGACAAATGTACAAAACATACTATATACATGTATGTATGACATAGACATATATACATATACATGTGTACATACATATATACATACAAATATATGGGAGGGTTTTGGCAATCTGTGTGACCTTGAGTCACATCAGATGGACAGTCAAAGAATTTTCCAGATGAAGAATACTAACAATAGTTTTACATTTCCTGGTCATATCTCAATTAGAATATTTTAGAAAGACATAACATGGTGATTCTTCAGATTATAAACTAAATCAGTAATACAGCATTCTCTGTCTAAAGCCAGCGTATGGATCATGAACTTGGCTAAATATTGCCCAAGAGTCCATGATATTTACCCTGTCTTTTGATGGTTCCAATCATTTAGCCTGGTTCAGTGTGAATGAGTACCTAGCACACACCCTAGGGCAGAGGCTACCACACTATGGTTTCTGGACTGGTAGGTGCTATGTTACTAGAGACTTCATGCAAATGCAAATTCTGGACTCTATCCTGCCCTGTAAACAAGCACTTTTCAGGGAGGTTTCCCAGGTTATCCGGAAATAAAGTTAATTTGTTAAATTAAACTCTGCCATGTCAATCTTTCTTCATATGAAGTTTTTAGGTAGATGCCTTTGTGGATAGATGTCTATGGATTTTTTAAAAATAATTCTGTCTCCAAATAATGTAATTATTTCATAAATGATTCTCACTTCTCCTAATTCCTTACTATAACTATGAATTATTGATTAAGTCACAGGTTCATTATTAAATTGATTTTAACATGTTAAAATACAGAAGCACTGTTCTTTTGTGACTTTGTCTTGTCTTCTGTTATCCTGGGCATCATCAAATTATTGTGAGACGGATAGAACTGGATAATATGGCCTGTGTTCATTTTAATTTCTCACATTTACTAGCAACATTTTATAAAAATGTCAAGGATGAAGATTTGGGGGAAAAATCAATATCAAGTCAAATTTCAGCTAAAAATTTAAATATGTATGCATTCATGAATGTGCATTGTGTGTGTTCCCCAAGAGAATAACACTGTGTATTTATTTTGAAACTACTGAGTAAGCAAGAGAAACTCTCAATGCTATGTTATTTGATCTGTTAGAAAGCTCTGTAATCAATAATATTATGAGATTCCAAGAATTCCACAGCACTAGGACAGGGGACAGAAATTGTATAATTTTTGGGGAATAGAAAAACAATTCTCAGTATCAACATTTGAAGAACACTTGGCAGAAAGCATGGAAAAGAAGACCTTAGAAGAGAAGAAACCAACACTATACTGTTTTTAATCTCTTCTCCCTTTTTCCATTCACTGCCTACAGCAAGGCATGAATGGACACCACTACTCTGCCTTCCCCAAAGTTGATTTGACCATAGGAATCTTTCTATCAGCAGAAAAGTATTTAGTAATGGTGAGAGAGGAACACTCAAGGAGCCTGTTCTTTCTACCTGTTAGTCAAGTTTCCAGAGACTGGAGTCCAGGCAGTCATATTGTTCTTCAGCATATCTTGCTTATATAGCCAACTTTATACACTTATCTATTCTTTAATTAAGCACATACTTTGGTGCCATGTCATAACTATCTACTATTGGCCCATCTGAGACTATCTAATTCTTGTCAGCCTTAAGAATGACAGAATTCCCCTTTGTTGTTTCAAGAAAATAGATTGACCAAGTGACATGGTAGGAATATGTACCCCATAAAATCATGGGTGTCCCCTCTCTCCTTTGCCATTGACACGTACAGGCCCTTCTCTGAGTGTCAGGTCATTCAGTCCAATTATTTTATTTCCTCCTCTGAGAATTCCTCATGCTCTGGCTTGTAAATCTAATAAAATAATAAAGTTTTTTTTTGGAGTCAGTTGCTGTATTAATTACTTACCTTGTTATGATGACAAAATGCCTGACCAAAGCAACTAACACAGGAAGTGCTATTTATTTATTTATCTATCATTGTAGCATGGAGAGCATAGCAGTGGGGGGGTGTGAGGCAGCATTGCATCGGTAGTCAGACAGCAGAGAGAGAGAGAATGCTGGCATTCTGCTTGCTTTCTCATTTTTATTCATTCTGAGACAGCAGCGCACAGGATCATGCTGCTCACATCCACTATGGCTCTTCCCAGCCAAAGTTGATCCTCCCTGGAAATGCCCTCATACACCCCTGTGGGGCTCTGAAAGAAAATGGCCCCCAGAGGGAGTGGCATTATTAGCAGGTATGACTTTGTTGGAGTAGGTGTGGCCTTGTTGGAGTAGGTGTGGCCTTGTTGGAGGAAGTGTGTCACTGGTGGGGGGGGGGCTTTGAGGTCTCCTATGCTCAAGCTAATTCCCAGTGTCACAGACCATTGTCTGTTGCCTTCGGAGCATGATGTAGCCAGCACTATGTCTGCCTACATGCTGCCATGCCCCCTGCTGTGATGATAATGGACTAAACCTCTGAATGTGTAAACTGGCACCTCAATTAAATGCTTCCCTCTTTCCTTCGTAAAAAGTTGCCTTAGTCATGATGTCTCTTCACAGCAATAGAAACTCTAAGACAACCCTTATAGGTATTTGTTTTGTTGTTATTTTTCTCTCTAGGTGATGCTAAATCCTATCAAGTTGACAATGGAAGTTAACCACCATAAGTACTGTTGGTATATATGAAATAGTCATAACACGAGTTTAGGGTAGGGAAGGATAAGGGTTAGAACTTGTTATAGTGTGGCTCTGAAGTGTCTCCTGCAGACTTACATATTTGAACACTTGTTCCTAGTTGGTGGCATCTTTTGAATGCCTGTGGAAACTTTGGGAAATACTGCCTAGCTGGGAAATATTAACCACAAGGCTGGGCCCTGTTCTGGTCCTGTCTCTGCTTCTTCATCCTCCAAGATGTAGTTAAGCCCCATTGCCTTGGACAGCCACCCCAGCTACACGGCCTCCCCTCCCACAGTAGGTTGTATTCCTCGACAGCAGGAGCAAAAACAAAGCTCTCAGCCTTGATGTTGCTCCCACCAGGTATTTGGGCACCGTGACAATAAAAGCAGTGGACAGGGGACTGTGAGGAGAGAGAATGAGTGAGAAGGAGCACAGCTTAACCGTGTGGTAGCAGGGCAGCAGCTCACATGACAGCTCCGGGCTAAGTACTTTCCCTGTGAAAGCATATCGCCTTATAACGTAAGTGAAGCTGACTCAAACAACAACTTCTATGTAAATCTCAGCCCCACCCTTTGTCAACTGGGAAACATGGGAAATTGTGTGATTGCCCCAAAGGCCAGTTTCTTCAGCTGGAAAGTGGGGTAACAGTATTTCAGTCAAGGAATAAGAAGTAAAATACTGCATGTAAATCTTTTCAGATGATGCTTCCTTCCCAGGTATCTCATTAAATGTCAGCTCATATCACAGTTAATGTCTTCTACGTTTGCTCTGTGTGCACATGCACACATGCATGGGAACATGTGGTTGTCTACCCCCTGCAGCGCATAGATGGAGTTTTCAGAGATCAGGTTTTTTTTTTTTTTTTTTTTTTTTTCCTTTCACATGTAGGTTCTGGGGATCAAACTCAGGACACCAGACTGAGCCACCTTGCTGGTCCTAGCATTCCTAATTTATTATAAATAAATTGCTGGTTGGCTGTGTTGAAAGTCAAATACATGAAAATGGATCTAGAAGGGAGTAGCAGGGTCTTTTCTTCAAACTTAAGATTTACAAAATGAAAAAAATTGAGTAAAAGCTCAAGGCTAAAATGCAGAGGATCATCTTGAGGAGAGAGAGGGCCCAGGTCTTTGCCTGTCTACAGGCAGTGAGCTAACATGGAAGGGGAAATGTATGGCCCTAACCCTAGACAGAGAACGAGAGACAGCTAAGGGATGGTGAGAGCAGGAGAAATAGCCTTCCCCAGAGAAGAGCACCTCACTTGGTTTTCCAATCCCCAGTGGTCAGCTCTGAAATCATGCAAGCAACATTTTATGGACTAAGCAGGCTGTATTTTTATATTTAAGAATACTACAGAAACATAGACACAAACTCCGATTAAAGAAAAAGAGGTCATGAATTTGAGAGAAAGAGAGAGAGCGAAGGGTACATGGGTGCAGTTGGAGAGAGGCCAGTGAAAGGGAAAATGGTATAATTATATTTTAACATCAAAACATTGGAAAGTATTTACAAGAAGGGAAAGGAACAAGGATGCATCTCCTGACTGATCATGGACCACAGGCTTCTTACCTCTGTCCGGTGCACAAGCTGCTGAGTTGCATCATCATTCATTCTGAAAATTTCCAGAAATGGGTCAGATTTACTGAAGAAATCCTAAAATAGATAGACACAATTAGGCTTTTTTTTTTTTTTCTTCTCTCTTTCCTTTCAGTTCTGAACTTGATCTGGTGCTGAACACTGTCATGCTTAATAATCATAATCTACCCTCTGACTTCTTGTGGAATGGAGGCCAGCTTGCCTTTCTTTTTGGAAGGTCAGCCTCAACTTCACCACCTTCTCCTCCTTGCCCTGAGGGAGTGGACACCACCCATCCTTGCTGTATTCTTGTCCCTCTAATCCACTCCCTGGCCTGGAATTAGCTGCATCTGAACTCCAAGGTCTTTGTGAAGTGTTTGCTAGGCTGAACTATGAAGAACTCACAGATGGGTTCAAATGCTGGTGCAGTGCGTTTAGAAGTGACATGGCTGTTGTCTCAAATATGTGGATCTTAATTATTGCAGAGCCAGTATCTGACCGCTGTGATGTCTGGACCACTTATGCTCTGCTATCTGTTTGCTGGTTCTGCTTCTCGGTATGTTTGTTAATTTTGATGAAATAAACACCGCAGGAGGAAGGTTACCAAGGCTTTAGATTCATCCTCAGTATCTATAAAGGAGACAGAAGAGGGGCAGTGCCTTGAATCTAACCAGGATTAAGCTGTTCAAAAGTTGGGTTTCTTCAAAAGTCTTTAATAAAAAGAATCCATTTTTTTTCCAAGTCCTTCCCTCCTTGGGTGCCGTCCTTGGAGTGACCTAGCTGAAAGCCAGGGTGTTTCCGGAGCAGGTTCTCCCCAGTGAGGACTCAAGGCTCCCTGTGTCTCTGTTCATCTCTCTCCTCTTTTGGCTTTAGGTTTGTGTTCACTTCCTCTATTTCTTTTTTTTTCCTATCCATTTTTTAATTTTTCTTATATTACATATCGACCCCAGTTCCCTCTCCTTCCCTCCCTCTCTCCCACCCTTCCATGCCCCCTGACCCCCCCATCCCATTCCCCCACCCACTCCAAATATAGGGTGATGCCTTCCAGGAGGGGGTCATCTTTTTCTATTTCTGTTTGTTAATTAGTGAAGGCCTGCGCTCATCCTCTGCAGCATCCCTGTTCTCAAGTGGCCCTGAACGCCCAGCTTTTCTTTCCTATCCTGTAAGTCCATTAAAATTTGTTCCCTGCTTTTTTCTATATACTTCCTGGTAGCCTTCATGATCCCTACATCTATGTTATTTAAGGAGTCAGTTTTGTATGGAAAATCCACAGAATATCTGAATTATCTTGCTGGCTTTCTTCTCTGCTCAGTTCTGGGTCCCTTCACCTTTATCTAGGTCCCTTCTCTGCCTGAGAACCCACAGACAGCTGTCTCTTGTATCTTTTCTAATGTTTATGGATGCCCACAGTGGGAGGAAGAGCCAATATAAACAGGTGCTTCATTGCTGGCAATAAAAACTACACAATTTACATCCTACTTATACTTTTTATAGAGTAGTTGGCAAATTCTCAGAAAGGAACTATACCTTGTTTCTGCTTACACACTTACTGTTCTTTTTCTCAGTATTTTTTTTTTTTTTTTACCGTGAATAGACTTTAGTAGTACCTGGTGTTTACTGAAGGAACACATGCTTGAGTGAATATAGAAATAAATGCATGAATAAACATGCCCTTGTTATAGAATAGGAAGCCATCTATTCCACAGCCATACTCATACACTCTTACAGCCCCATCCCCATCTGTAACAAAGCAGAATTAAATCCACATTTGCCCTAAGAGTCATCAAGTTAACAAACTGTCATCTGACACTATTTTATTTCCTTTTGGCTTCTACTTGTAAAATTTCCTTCTCTATCAATGCCATTACCAGTCATCCTCACCTTGAGCTCAGTGAAGGGTTTTCAGGGTGTGTGAAGGCCATAAAGACTTTGTGCTAATATTATGATGAAAGGAACACTAATACCTTGTTGGACTCTATAAATATGATCAAGTTTGGTGAGAAGTATACGGCTTGACTCATTGCCGTGACTTATGCTAAAGAATGAAGGTATAAGTATGCAGAGGATCTGTAAGGGGAGGGATATGATTGATCTGTGTGACTGTAGAAATGGGGTTGTGAAGAGGCTACATTTCTAGAATAGGAATACTGTAAAAGAATAAACATGAGGGGAGTAGAGGAAGCAGTTTGATTTAACTGTGTATGTGGCTGCTGGGTGAAGACAACGCTGGCATAGTTGGTTCCATAGTAAAGGCTACCGATGCTCATTGGGTCTTTGCTATCCTGGAGAGAAAGCACAGAGCTACCAAGGGACAGTGAGCAGGAAAGCAGCACAATTAGCTGTCATGAATGCCAGTCTAAACAGGACTGATGTACATATGAACCCTGTGGTGGTTTGAGTAGGTATGGCCCCCATAAATTCATGTGTTTGAATGCTTGGTCTACTATTGGGAGGTGTGCCACTTGTTGGAGGAATGGTGTCATTGTGGAGGCAGGCTTTGATGTCTCTCTACACCCAGTGTGGGACACAGTTCACTTCCTGTTGCCTGGCAATTAAGATGTGGACCTCTCAGCTCCTTCTCCAGCACCATGTCTGCTTGCATGGTGCCATGCTTCTTACCATGATGATAATGGACTAAACCTCTAAAACTGTAAGTCATCCCCAATTAAATGTTTTCCTCCATAAAAGTTATAGTGTCTCTTCACTGCAATAGAAACCCTAAGCAAGACAAATACACAGAGATTGTAGAAGTACATACAACAAACTCCTACATAGGTTCAAGTCAGGTGGGATCCCAACACAGAGAGGGACAAATAGACACAGGGTCCCGCACCCAACCAAGAAGTTATTTGCAATTGATACCTTTTGGCAAAAGGAAAAATCAATCAGTTTTTTCCCAGTGGAGTGCCATTGGGTATATCAACAAATTATACTCTAGGGCAGACCACTGGTTGCCTAGGAGTAGTTGGCCAACACAAACAAAATAGACAACTTGGTTTGTTGTTGTTGTCTGTGTGTATGTGTTTAAGCATATTTGGACCTTTTAAAATTGTTTGTTTTGTTTTTTCCATTTTCAATACTTGTTTGGTTTGTTTATTTATTTATTTTGAGAAAGAATGAATATATACGTTTCAGTGGGTTTGGAGGTGAGGAGGACATGGGAGGAGTAGGGGAATGTAAAATATGATGAAAATATATTTTATGAAAAATTATTTAGATACAAGTATTTTTAAAAGAATATTAGCCTAGAAACTTTCTAGAATAACCTAGAAAGAGAAGAGATGGGCAGTGGAAGAACTCCTTATTGAACCTAGGAATCAAACACCAGCCCTTTCACTGAATATCTGAATGTCTGAGAGTACCACAGCCCTCCTCTTACCAAGAACCTGCAGTGTCTACTTTCTTCATTAGCCTAACCCACAAACCTTGCCTCATCCCTAAATGGCCCATTTGCCCTTCAGACACACCTGTAGCTGATTTGTGTGCACCTGTCAAGGCATTTGTATCTCAGCCTATTTATGTTTCTATACATGTCTAATAATATTGTTGTCACCCTCTCTTTCCTTATGGATATGGGCCACATTAGCTTCTTCCTGTGTGTCCATAAATAGATTACTAGCCCCTGAGGTTGTTTATGAGTTATATTTAAAAATTGCTGACCATGGGGGAAAAACTCTATCAATTATTTTCCTTTTTCCTCTTCGTTGAAAATTTAAAACTTTTCTTATCATTTTTACTTAAAAATGGAAAATGTAGGAAAAAATATAAGATAAAAATAGAAGTATGAGAGGAAAAAACACAACCTCCATCTATTATTTAGTGCTTGGAATATGAAGTTTGCATTGTTCATTTCTCTCCTGAAAACAGAGAAGACAGAAGGTGGTAGGAGCCCTCATAGAACTATGTAGCTTTCAGACATTATCAGAGAAGTTACTTTTTGTAGTGGGTAGTGGTTAACACAGAATTCATAACTAGCCAGAGTACAGAGAATAAATGTCTGTGGAATGCTCAGCCACCAATAGAACATCTGTATCCTATTCTTGTCCACAAGGCTCAGGGACCATTGTAAAAGGGGAGGTGGTAATAGTTGGAGGTCAGAGAAGACCAGAGTGAAAAGCATCTTCTGGACATAGCAGGACCTCTGCACTCAAGAACTCACAGAAGCTGTGGTTGCTTATACAAAGCCAGCATAATCTCAAGCCAGTTAACATTCCAGCATGGAGAGAGGAAGGGCTTATGGGCTCTCATGCTGAGCTGAGGATCTCCTGACAGTTGATGGTTTGGGAAAGCAAGGGGCAGTTTCAGTTTACTTTCTTCCTTCCCTTCCCTTCCCTTCCCTTCCCTTCCCTTCCCTTCCCTTCCCTTCTCTTCCCTTCCCTTCCCTTCCCTTCTGCTCCCCTCCCATTCCTCTTTTCCTTCCTTCCTTCCTTCCTTTCTTCCTTTCTTCTCGAGACAGGGTTTCTCTGTATTGCTTTGGAGCCTGTCCTGGAACTATCTCTGTAGACCATGCTGGCCTTGAACTGCTCATCACCAATGCCTGGCCCTCAGTTTTCTTTAAGGGTGTGGTCCCATGTTACAAGTAAATGGCCCCACTAATTGGTCTTAGTTAATTATTTAAGAGAGAGGGAGAGAGAGAGACTTGAGAGGGATTGGGATGGGTAGATCTAGGAGATATTAGGGGATGAATATGATAAAAATACATTACAAAAAAAGAACAAAACAAATTGGTGGAAGGCAACATGTTTATTCAAGACTTAAGAGTTTATCTATCTCAGCTCAGTGGTCTGGGTTGTTTTATAGATGTTTCTTCCAGGATTAAAGCCTTCCATCTTGGAGGAATTTCATCATGGCATGGCACTGGATGTTAAAGGGGAGGTGAAGCACTGGGGTATCTTAAGACAAGAGGTTTACAGGGAAGTGAAACAAGAGGATGCTTGAAGGGAAGTGCAATAGTTATCTTTCAGGGAAGATTGCTCAGATCCCGAAGTAAACAATTGAAACTGCTTCAGGAAGTTCCTGAAATTGACCAGATTCACTAGGCCCTTAGCTTCCCAAGAGCATTTACAAGTATTAATGTT